TCCACACTACTTAGGTTTTTTGATTCCAGTGTGGTTTGTGCCCTAGTTGTCTTGGAGTAAGGCTTTCCTCTCTGTACTCTCCCAGCTATTCTAAAAAAATGCTAAAACCCCTTACTTCTCAGAGTCAATAAACGTGGGAGAGGACAAAAGTCTGCTGAGTGCTATTATATCCCCGGGGCACATATTAAGGGAGAAGAAGAAGAGACCTACAACAAAATAAAAATATGTCTAAAACCTGGTTGTCTAATCCATTCGAATCTGTGTAAGATTTGAAAGAGAATATTTCCTAGAAGACTACTACATCAGAGATTTTTGACATATATCATGAAAACTTCATATGGAAATGACAATCCATATTCGAAAAGAAAGTGAACAGAGCTGAAGAAAATGGAATCAAAGATTAATGGTGGAGATCTCTTTTAAATGTCATGTATTTGAAAGGCTGGCATTTATAATCTATTAGGAAAGTAGTCCAAAGCAGCCTACAAACGAGAAAGTCCAACTTGGCCACTGAGCTACAAAAAAATAAAATTAAAAGTCTTGAATTTTTAGGATCTTGGGTGTACCCATCCTCAGCCAGACTTGCCTGTGTTTACTGTGTTAACCCAGAACTGCTGCTAATTCATTCATCCCAGGCAGGTGATACCAGATAAAGTCAGCCACACACTCTTATTTCACACTGTCCTTGACACAATGGAAAGAATGACATATGCTTCACCAAGCAGGTGAGCTTCCTTCCCTCCTTCTGTGAAACTGACCTGACAATGTTACCATGAAGGCTTGAAGCATTTCTTTAACCCCTTTAAGCAAAGGATAGACAGGATAGATATGATCAACATTGTATCCTTCCAGCCTCTTGGCTTGGGACATCATAAAAGGCAAAAGAAAAGACATAATAGAGGGTATTCAAGTCAGGTATGGTGGCACACACCTGTAATCCCAGCAATTTCAGAAACTGAGGCAGGAAGATTGTCAAGTCTGAGACCAGCCTGGGAAACTTAACAAGAACCTATCTCAAAATTAAAAAGTAAAAAATAAAAATGGCTAGGGATATAGCTCATTAGTAGAGTGGCCCTGGATTCAATTACTAGCACCCCCACACACACACCCAGAAAAGAGGGTATTAAAAGGAAGTTCAGGAGTCCAATATGCCCATGTCTTCAGCATGTAATAAATTCTGTGTGTTCTTTTTCCTGCTTGTTTTTTTTTTTTTTTTAATAAGCCAGGTGCAGTGGTGTATTCCTGTAATCTCAGTAAATTGGGAGGCTGAAGCAGGAGGATTGCAAGTTCAAAGCCATCCTTAGCAGCTTAGTGATGCCCTAAGCAACTTAGTGAAACCCTGTCTCAAAATAAAAAAATAAAAAAGACTGGGGATTTGTCTCAGTGGTTAGGGGCCCTGACTTCATTCTCTGGCACCAAAATAAATAAATAAATAAATAAACAATAAAAGTTGTAGGGATGGGGATGTGGGTCAGTGGTTGAGTGGTTGCCTAGCATGTATGAGGCCCTGGTTTGGATCCCCCAGAGCCACAAAAATAAATAAATAAAAGGAGATTCAAACTGCACTCTTTAGGGAGAACTTTAATCTTGCTCCAGAGATATAATTTAGCAATTAAACCAGCAAGTAGGATGATTTTAACATTTATATTTTCCTAATTGATTCCTTTTTTTTTTTTTTTTTTTTTTTGGTACCCAGGGACGCTTAACCACTGAGCCACACCCCCAGCCTTTTAAATTTTTTATTTAGAAACAGGATCTTGCTGAGTTGATTAGGGCCTCACTAAGTTGTTCAGTCTGGCTTTGAACTTGAGATCCTCCTGCCTCAGCCTCCCAAATTGCTAGGATTACAGGCATGCACCACTATGCCTAGCTGATTCCATTTTTCAAAAGACATTTTAGGCAAAAACTGCAAGAGGTCCTGGTATATTTGATATGTACCACTGATATCACATATTTTTTAAATGATTCATATGGATAGGATATGTCCTAGAGAAAAAATTATTAGAAGATAATCCTAAAATAGTTTTGCAAACTTTATTTTATATAGTTACCCCCATAAGAAAATAGAGTTGTTTTTTTCTGTTTTTTTTTTATGCCATGACTTGTTCATTCCTATTAAGTGCTGATCTCCAACTTTATCATCTCAATTTTCCTTTCTTTCACCTGTCACCCTCTGATACTTTTATATTCCTATATTACAATCTCACTTAAATTTCTGGTCCTATCCACCTCCTCCCCCAGTCCCATTTTCTATCCCTCTTCCTGAAAACATGGCTATATCTGAATGGAGGACTTTCTTGGGCAGATAGTCCTCATCTCTGTAACTTCTCTTCCTATGACTAAGATGACTTTTTTCTTTTTTTAATCACTTGCTCATTTTAACTAACAAGATACAATATTACTCTAGGAAAGGAAAAAGATACTTGTAAATATGATTGCTTTCCATGCTTCAAAACATATAATCAGTTTATGCCAAGGTTCATGCTTTTCAGATTCCTGAGCATGATTTTTTTACTTATCTAATTTTATTTTTTTAATCATGTGCGCTCTCTACTAGAATGAGGCAGAAAGCTATACATCTCCCCCTTGTGGTACTTGTTGGTATCTGCCTTTGGTATCATCCATTTCTTCCAGTTTCTATCAGTCCCAATAAAATGCTGCTAAATAATCCTCAACCACAACTCTGGCATCACTCTCCTGCTCAGACTTTCAGTGGCTCTCTACCACCCGCGGAATAAAATCTAAAGTCTTGGTACCACCTGAAATTTCTATGTAAACTCTGCCTTTTGAATTCCTTTATGTTCTTCTGGAACAAAATTCCTCTTTTCCAATCCCCCACATGGAGTAGTCTCCACATTTTGTGCTCCTACACTGCAATCTGAGTGTAATTAATTATAGGTATTTGTGATCAATTATCTCTCAGACCATTTTGTAAGAATCTGGAGAGAAAGAAATGACAATATCTTTTTCATCTTCCCATCATCTACACAGTACCTTGCACACATCAAATATATTACATAAATATCTAAAAAATTAAATAAAATAGATATGATGACTAGTAAAACTAAACATTGTCATTAGACTTTAAAAACAGAGAAAGATTTAAGAACTTTATTTATTTATTTATTATTTTATGTGGTGGTGAGGATTGAACCCAGTGCCTAACACATGTTAGGCAAGTGCTCTACAATTGAGCTACAACCACAGCTCCACAGAAAGATTTTTTTTGTACTAGTGATTGAACACAGGGGTGCTTTACCTCTGAGCTACATCCCCAGTTCTTTTTTATTTTTATTTTGAGATAGGGTTTTGCTAAATTGCTGAGGGTCTTGCTAAATTGCTGGGCCTGGCCTTGAGCTTGCAATCCTCCTGCCTTAGTTAGGCTCTTGAGTCACTGAGATTGCAGGTATGTACCACAACGCCCAGCTAAAACAGAGAAAGAATTTAAAGATGGACCAAGAAAGGGAATTGTACAGACTGACCCTATCCAATAAGAATATTATGAAAGCTACATGTATAATTCTGAATTTTCTAGTAGCCACCTTTTTAAAAAAGGTGAAATTAACTTTAATAATACATGTTCTTTGACTCAATCAAAAATATTATTTCAACACGTAATCACGTAAAAATTACTAAGATATTTAACATTCACTTTTCATGGCAAATTTAGCATACATACCGCACATCTCAACTTATGGCCACATTTAAAGTATTTAATGTGGGCTGGTGGCTACTGTGTTAGAAAGAAGCCAAGAATGGGAACAAGGGTTCTAGTCCTGGCTAACTTCTGAATAATTCTGTCACCTAAGACAAGACCTTAAACCATTTCATTATCTGAAAGGCGAGGGGGGGGGGACACATACTTTTTCTTACCAATCTTATGGGGCTGTACTTGCACAAAATTAGAAATGAAAATGAGAACACTTTGAAAGGTTGTTGAAAATGTCAGATAAATGGAAGGCATTATAATTATTCCAAGAATAAACTCTGATATCACTAGTTTGTACAGTGTACTGAAAATCATAGGTTTAATTTTTTTCAATAACCATTGCAGATCTTTCCCAGAGGCTGAGATACTAAAGGTTATTTCAATGCTCCAGTGGAGACATATTACCATATTAGAAAACCCAGTTAAACTGGCTTGCTTTGAAATGGTTATTAGGGTCTTCTCTAAAGAAAAGAGATCCCAAAGTCTCATATGCTCCCCAATCTTTCTTTACTGATTTGACAGCAATATTACAGGGTTAAGGGATGATGTTGATGTTCCCATTAAATGTCTCCATTGGAGCACAGAGTATGATGAAGATGGGTAGATCAGAAGCACAGAGACAGAGTTTAGAGATCTGTATTCAGGTTAATTATATCATTGTGAATAAGATGCTTTCAATACAGAGGGAAAGGAAGAGGCAAGGTGTCAGTCATAAGCATTTGGAGATCCAAAGGAGGATCAGGAAATAATGCTGGCTTTCTGTTCACATAGTACCTGCCCACCACTGAGGTGCTTCTGTGATACAGAAAGAGATAGAAACACGTTTTCCACTTTTAGGTCCTACAGAGAACGCGGGGATGGTCATTTAATAACATTTTAAGTGCTCTTTTTAGGAGATTCTCTGCAGAGCTCCAAAAGCCTCTTTTTAAATACTTCAGCTATTGTTTAATCATCCACCAAGATCTGATCTCTAATCACTCTCTCTGCCCTAAGAAACGGTACAGAATAAAGTATTTTCATTTCCGTTTTAGATGCGGAGTAGGCAGAAGCAGCGAAAAACAATTCTCTTGTCTGTTGGGATTGGCCTTCCTGGCAGCCTAAGCTCTGTAGACGCCTATTTAAAAGTGAGCTCAATCCAAGACCCACTTTCCCTTTCAGCCACATCTGCGGGTCCTGGGGCATTTCCCCTTTCTCAGAAGTTTGCCGACGTCGGACACCCAGGCCCGCAGTGTAGCCCGGGAGACCCCGGTGCACCTTGTCTTAACAACAGTTGCTAGGGGGCGGAGACTTTGAATCTGTTCGCGAGGCCAAATATCCCCGGGTCGGACACATGGGGCGCATGCGGCCACCGTCTCTCAGCTATCGCGAGATTTCGACTTCCCGGAAGCGGTGGAGAACGTCGCGATGTGTGGGGACTGTGTGGAGAAAGAGTATCCTAATCGGGTGAGCAGGGGTTCGCCGAGAACCTTCGAGGCAAGCCCCAAGGCTGCTCAGACTTCCGGCCGGCCTTCCCGACCGGCCAGGCGCTGGGCAGACTTGGCTGCGCTGTGGATTGCAGTGACCCCGTGGCTGTGTTTAGGCCTAGGTCAGCAAGGCGGAGTGTGGCGGTCGTACCGTCGGTCCCCGCCCCGGTGGCTGACATCAGCCGTCATTCCCGTTCTCTTGAGCGCCCGGGGACCGCATAGGAAGCCTCAGCACCAGCACCACCCAGGCAGCAGCCCCCCACCCCGGGTTGTCCTCAAGCTCGATTTGATGCAGTTTGATTTTCTTACCAAACTCTAGCGCTAGAGGGGACCTCCTTGGTCATCCCTTTTGCAGATGATGAAACTAATGCCCAGAGAGGAGGAATAATTTGTCCAAATTCACATCCTAGGTAATATGAGAGCTAGAACTAGAATTCAGGTTTCCCAGTTGCTACCTTCATTCTTTCGTTCATTCATATATATTGGATATTGAACCCGAGGCGCCCTACCCCTGAGCTACATCCCCAGCCCAGATCCAGAGTTCCAGAGGCTGGCCTCGAACTTGTGATCCTCTTGCCTCAACCTCCTGAGAATCGCTGGGATGACCAGCTTGTTACATTATTTTAAATCTCTGTTTCTCTCAGGCCCAGGTGGTTTCAGACCTTGTAGAGCTTTGTTAATTGAGGGCATACTTATTGAACATCCACGTGTGTATAGGTCACTTTGAGGCTATGCAAGGATGTGCTGCTTAAGAATTTATAGTGTGGAGGAGTAAGTGGTTAACGGAAATGAAAGGACAAACCATGTATAAAATGAAGTTTAGAGAGAGGAGAGTAATAGGGTATGGGATAGCACTGCTATCCCCCATCCCCGCCAAAAGTGTGGACTATCCCCACGACTTGAAACATAGTTGTGATTAGGTAGAAAAGAAGGAAACAAGGAGCTGGAGACTGGGGGAAAATAACAAGAGCAAGAATTCTTGCATGGGTTGGGAGTTAGAAAATCTCTATAGTGTTTTTCCTTCTCTTAATATGTTATGAGCATTATTTAGTCTTTTGAGAAGATTCTATAGTGTATGTTCTCATATGGTACAACCACTTTGGAAAAAAGGTTAAGCATTTTTCAGTAAAGCTGTGCCCACTGAAATGACCCAGCGGTTCTCATTCTGGAAAAACTTGCAAATTCTTTTGGACATATGTATAAGAAAGTTTGGAAGGGCAATTATCTGTAGTAGACTGGAAAAGTAACTTTGTAGAATGGAACATCATAAAAGAATGAGTGATGGAAATGAATGATATAGAGCAGTGGTTATTTACCAGGAATGACTTTCTCCCAGGGGATATTAGCAATATCTAGATACATTGTTGGTTGTTACAATGGGGAGACTACTCCTCACATCTGATGGGTAAAGACCAGTAAACATCTTGCAATACACTGGATAGCCACCACAACACAAAATTTTATGCAGTTGAGGAACCCGGAATTAGAGTAATAAAAATACACCAAAATTACACACAACAACTGGAATTAAGTATTACAAATACAGTGTTGATAAAAGAACACAGTGTAATTCAAAATAAAATAAAAATAAAATGTATTATTTAAGAATGTTCCTGGGTGGTAAAACAATAAAAGAAAGCAAGTGATTACCATAAAGTAGTCTTGATATTGATTACTGCTAAAGGATTAGGGTGTGATCAAGAATGGTCACATAAGAGGCTGGGGCTGTAGCTCAATGGCAGAGCACTTGCCTGGCACATGCAGAGGCACTGAGTTTGATCCTTAGCACCACATAAAAATAAACAAATAAAACAAAGACATTCTGACTGTCTACAACTACAAAAAAAGAAAAAAGAAGAAGAATGATCACATGAGGGGAAGTTTTTGGGGGTGCAAAGCAGTATTTTTCTTTTTTTTAAACTGTGCTTATTCAGTTTTTCCTGGAAGTTTTCTTTCTTTCTTTCTTTTTTTTTTTTTTAGAGAGAGAGAGAATTTTAATATTTATTTTTTAGTTTTCGGCAGACACAACATCTTTGTTTGTATGTGGTACTGAGGATCGAACCTTGGCCAGGCCGCACACATGCCAGGCGAGCATGCTACCTCTTCAGCCACATCCCCAGCCCCAGTATTTACTTCTTGACTTGGGTGGTGATTCTAGAGATGTTCACTTTGTAATTATTTATTATATTTATATATGTTTTGTTTCATATGTTTTTCTGAATTGTGTTCTATTATATACATTGTTTTAATTTAGAAAGATTTTTATGAATCTAATAAAGAACATTACATATTAGACCATGCTGGGAAGAGAGAGGGGAGAGAGAGAGAGAGAGAATTTTTTTTTTTTAATATTTATTTTTTAGTTCTCGGCGGACACAACATCTTTGTTGGTATGTGGTGCTGAGGATTGAACCCGGGCCGCACGCCTGCCAGGCGAGCGCACTACCGCTTGAGCCACATCCCCAGCCCTAGGTTGAATTCTTAAGAGTGGAACCAATTGAAAGATTTAAGTCATATTAAGACATTACTATAGGCAACCATCACTGTAATAGTGAATAGGGAAATGATCTAAAATCTCTTATTAGGAAAATGAATCTTGGCTGTATGTTGGGATGATGGGGTGAGGGGAGTAGGAAAGGAGACTTCTGTAGAGCATGGCAGATATCTTCACTTCATGAGATAGTGAAGGCCTGATTTCAAAGAAAGAATTAATAGGACTCATCCAATACAGTGTTGGAGAGAAGAATGGAAGAGATGTAGATGATCTCAGGATTTTTAGTCTAGGCAACTGGGAAGTTGGAAGTATCATTACAGAAATTGTAGGTATATGGGAAGAAAAATCAAGTTGGGGAGCAAATGGTTAAATTGTTGTTATGGTTGAGATTGAGAATTTAACATCTGAGGAGTCAAAAATATAGCATTGCAAATAACAAAGATGTATCTGTCTGTAAGATTCAGAAAGATGAGTTGGCCAAATCAAAGTGTCAAAATAGAAAGAATTTGTTCTCTGAGGAAAAGAATGTGGAGAACCAAAGACTCAGTTTCAGAGAATAAATTAATTTAGGAAATAGAAATTTTAAAGTCTCAAGAAAAGTGCTCTGAAGCACTTTTTCTCTGCTTTTATTCTCTCCTAAAATAATTAAAGGGCTATCATAAGGAAGAATTAAACTTTTTTTTTTTTTTGGGAACTGGGGATTGAACTCAGGGGCACTCAACCACTGAGCCACATCCCCAGCCCTATTTTGTATTTTATTTAGAGACAGGGTCTCACTGAGTTGCTTAGTGCCTCGCTTTTGCTGAGGCCAGCTTTGAACTCGTGATCCTCCTGTCTCAGCCTCTCGAGCTGCTGGGATTACAGGCATGTGCCACAATGCTCAGCTAAACTTTCTTTTTTTTTTTAAATTTCAGAAAACAGATTTAGAAATAAGTAGTGGGTGCGTGTTATGAGTTTGTAGACTTTGAATCAGAATAAGGAACTTTATAACAGATGTTCAAAAAGGGAATGAATAACATTTAGAAGAATTGAGTTGTCTTCCTGACTGACAATTTAGCATCTCAAGGACCCTTTCAACTCTGGGATTTTTTGAAGTTTAAGGACAGAGTAGAAACCACTTTGCTCAAGCTTAGTGAAGGAAAGAGTAATAAAATGTTGGCAGCAAATATGGTCCACTAATTCAAAAAAGATTGGCAGAGAAAATAGATTAGCTTCTCCAGAAGCTCTAAGTGCACAGAAAGTAAGTAATATTTAATTATTTATTTTTTGTTACATAAAGTTATCCAGTGTTTTGTGTTAGATGTTTTTCACAGACTAGAAATACATGAAATCCTAACAGGTCTCTGACCTACTTGCTTGTAATGTTACACTGAGAATTGAACTCAAGCATGAATCTAGTTGGAAATGAACCATACTAATTTTCTGAACCCAAATGGATTTTTGCTCAACTATGAACTAAAAAAAATGTTTTCTATCAGAAAAGTATTTAACAAACCACTTGGAACTAGAACTGTATTGTATTTTTCATAATACAGGCCAAAATCATAATAAAATATTTTTCAAATCAAACTGGAAACAAAAACCTGTTTCACATATTTTAAGTTTCAGCTTTAAACATTTTAGTAATTCAACAGCAATGCAGAAATAATTAATTTAGATTAATCAGAGGGAAAAAACCAATTGTGCATTAGTGATGTTTAAATTTAAAATTATGTGTTTTAAAACTAACCCATCAAGAGGCTGGGGTTGTAGCTCAGTGGTAGAGCGCTTGCCTAGCATGTGCAAGGCACTGGGTTCAATCCTCTGCACCACATAAAAATAAATAAATAAAATAAAAATGTTGTATAAAAAATGTATCTGTTAAAAAAAGAAAAACCTAACCCATCTAAGTTTATGTACTCAAATGGTTACCTGGTTCATAGAATTAGACAAATTTAATTAAATGCTGAATTGAATCTGTAATTACTAAAACAATTGTGTGTGGGCAGGTATTTTAAAATGATATTCTGCATTTTTAAAATTTGAGGGTTTAAATGCCTGTATTAAAAAAGAATAATCATGAATCAATAATTAAACTTTTACTAAACTTTCATAACAGAGGAAAAACAAGAACAAACTAAATATAAATCAAGCAGAAGGAAGGAAATAAAGATTGGAAGTTAATGAAATACAAAATTGAAAAGCTATAAAGAAATCACAAACCAAAGCTGCTAGTTCTTTGAAAAATATGTTCTTTTTTTTTTTTTTTTCTTTTCATTGCTGGATATTGAACCCAGGACCTCATTCATGCTAGGAAAGTGCTTTACCAGCCAGATATTTTCTTGTCATGTATGTATATATGTATGTTTGCAGTACTGGGGATTGAACCTAAGGGCACTCCACTGGCTATGTCCCAGCGCTTTTTTATTTTTTATTTTGAGACAGGGTCTAAATTGCTGAGGCTGGCCTTTGAACCTGTGATCTTCTTGCCTCAGCCTCCTAAGTAACTGGGCTTAAAGGCTTGTTCCACTTTGCTGGGTTCCTCCATTTTTAATTTAAAAATTTTCCTGCAAAGCATATACATTAACTTACATAAACATTAACTTACATTTATTTACAGCTACATTCACATGTACCATCTGAAATAATACTTTTCCAGAAAAAACAAATTCGTCCAGTTCTTGTCAAAATAATTGCTGATTTCACAAGTTTATGAGACTTTATGTTATAATTGTCACATTGATTATCATTTGTACTGCCATACCAATTATAATCATAGTTTTCAGCCATTTCTTTTTGCATATTTGTTTACCTTTACAACTCTTGAACCAGGATTTATCTGAATCACATTCTTTTTTTTGGGGGGGGTGGGTACCAGGGATTGAACTCAGGGGCACTCCACCACTGAGCCATATCCCCAGCCCTATTTTTGTGCCTAACATTTTACTAAGGCTGGTTTTGAACTTGTGATCCTCCTATCTCAGCTTCTGGAGCCGCTGGGATTACAGGCATGTGCCACCACACCCAGTCTGAATCACTTTTTTTAAAGGCACTTAACATGTTGACTTTTTCCTCTTATTCTTGAAACTGTTACAGTTCACTCTTACTGTGGAATTGATTTGGATTGCAATCTTTGTTTCCCTGTCATTATAGAAACTTCAAAAGCTTCCTATACTTTAGTTTACTTTCCAAAATTTGAATATTAATAGTCTAATGAAAGAGCTGTCTTACTAATGAAGTTTACCCTCATTTCTTTAAATGACTAGGGTCTTAAAAGTCCCATAAGTTTTTTACATACCATACTTGCAATTTGTCATTTCAAATATTTATTTACTTACCACATAACAGATGCAAATATCTTTCTCTTTTCCCTGTGTTTCCTTAGAGTTTACATCCTGCCTACCTACTTACAAGGTCACATTATAGAGTTCAGGCCACACTGTATAAGGTAGCTGTGTTTCTGTGTGAAATCTAGTTCAGAGTTCCATTTATTTGTAATTGGTATTTAAAATTCTTTATTTCTTTTATGACCATATTGCTTTCCTTAATTTATTGAAGTCCTTAGCAGTTATCTTTTATATATTCAAGGCAGTCTCAATTCAAATTACAGCAGGCTTTTTTTTTGTAAAAATTTATAAACTGATTCTAAAATTTTTTATGAAAATGGAAAGAACCTGTAATAGGTAGATTATAGTATATAAACTGTCTGATTTATATTCTTATTGTAAAGCTACAATCAAAAGAATGTTTCATGAGTGCAAAGCTAGCTAATAAGTCAAGAGAACAGAGTAGTCAAAGTAGACGCTTATGTATGTGGTCATTTGACTGTTCTACAAAGGCACCATTGTAATTCAGTGGAAGGATAGTCTTTGAACAAATGTGGCTGGAACAACTGGATATCTATATAACTTTGATCATTACCTCATATCAAATTATTTCAAAATATGTCATAAACCTAAACTTACAAGCTTAAATTATAAAACTTCTAGAAGAAAACATAGGAGAAAAATCTGTTCAACCTTGGGGATAAGCAAAGATGTTTTAGGAGACAAGAAGCACAAATCATTAGAGAAAAAAATAAATTGGACTTTTAAAAGCTCAACACTGTTCTTCAAAGAACATCATTAAAAAAAGAAAGCAAACTAGAGCTGGGGATTGACTCAGTAATAAAGCACTTGCCTAGCATGTATGAGATCCTGAGTTTAGTCCCCAGCATCTCAAAAACAAAAAAACACAAAAAAGAAAGCAAATTAATGACAAGGAGAGAATATGGCATAATGTATTCAGCAAATGACTTGTATCCAAGATATATAAAGAAATTTTATTACTCAGTATAAGAAGATAAACAACAAAGAATGGGCAAAAGACTTGAATAGACACTTCACATAAAGAGACATTTTAATAGGCATCACAAAAATATGTTCTCCACCATTAGTCATCAGGGAAATGTAAGTTTAAATGATAATGAGTTTTTACCGATTTACATCACTAGAATGGCTAAAGTAAAAAAGACAAACCTAGTATCAGTATAAATATGGAACAACTGGAACTCAGTGCATTGATGAGAATGTAAAGTGAAAAACTTTGGAAAACAATTTGCCAGTTTCTGAAAATTAAATATATCATTTTTAGCAAAGAATTTAGCAATTCCATTTCTAGATTATTTCCCCAAGAGAAAGGAAGACATATGCACACAAGACTTGTACATGAATCTTCATAGTTGCTTTATTTTTACTAGCCCCAAAGTGAAAAAACCCAAATGTCCATCAACAGGAATTAATCCATACAATGGAATACTACTTGGCAATAGAAAGAATTGAACTACCAATATATTCAGCCACATAGATGAATAACATAGATATTATGTTGAACAAAAGAAAGTGGATACAAAAGAGTATAATAATTCTTTTTATGTAAAATTCTGGAACATGCAAGGCTGTAGAGAGAGAATCAGATTATTGGGTGCCTGATAGGGGTTGGAGATAAACTGCAAAGCATGAAGGAACTTCCTGAAGAGATAGAAATATTCTGTATTTTGATAGGGATAGTGCTTATGTGGGTATACACATTTGTTACAAGTCACTTACCTGTGCCCTTAAAATATGTGAGATTTTTTGTCTAAATTATACCTCAGTAAAATTTATTTATTTGTTTATTTATTACTGAGGATTTACCCCAGGGATATTTTACCACTGACCTGCATCCCCTCTCCTTTTTATTTTTTATTTTGAGACAAGGTGTCACTAAATGCTGAGGCTGGTGAAACTTCTGTACCTTTTGCCTTAGCCTCCCAACTTTCTGGGATTATAAGTGTGTGCCATAGCATCCAGCAAATTTGTTTCCACCAGAGCTAATCTCATCCTCAATGCATAGAACTAAGAAGCCCCTCAGAAGGGAGAGATTAATTGTACTTCTGGGAATCCAGGAAGACTTCATTGTGTCATTGAAGGTGGGTCTTAATTCCCTGGTATTTCTTAAATTCCATGAAGTTGGAAACTTCTTTGGCTCATCCTTGAATCCTACATGGTGCTTTTCATGGTATCAGCCACATAAAAGCATTAGAGAAAATGTTGATTCTAATGATTTTGTAATCACATTAACTATTTAAAAATACTCTAAATTTGTTGCATGGAATTAGACTAGATTATCTGTAAAATAACTTAATACTTAACAATTATTTATAAGCCTTTAGCAAAGATTTTCCTTAAATCAGGAAAATGAGTTGTTTATAATTTATTAGTAATGAAGCAAAACTCTTTCTTTCTTGAATGCTGTTATGTTAGTCTGATGAGTTGCAGAACTTGCCTTCTCTGCCTGAATCATACGTAAAAGATTGACATCTGTAGATCTAGATACTTTTGTTTATTTTGTGGTTCTATTAAGGCTTAAGAAAAAGGCTGTCAATAATCAATTTAACATCACAGTATATGAGATCATCTTTAGCATGGGCTCAATCTTTCTATTTTAGTTGAATTTTTAATTCTAGTTTTATGATATGCCTCATTTAATAGTAGGCTTTTAAATTTTTCTAATTTTTCCTTTACATATTTTGTATTATTAAGGTTTCCTTATTGTTTCTATGTCTATTTGTACTTAGTTCTCTTTTTTCTTCTTCTTTAAAATTTTGTTCTTTTTATTTATACATGACAGTAGAATGTATTTTGACATATATGCATGGAGTATAACTTCCCACTCTTGTAGTTATATATGATGTGGAATTACATTGGTCATGTATTCACACAGGACTTAGTTCTCTATTAAACACAGCTGCAGCCCTCAGAGACTTATACACCAACATTGCTTCAATTTTATTTTATTTATATTTTTTCAATTTTATTTTATTTATATCAGTATTATTTAGGAGAGCTGGTAATTTCAAAACTTACTTATTATAGCCTTAAAGCAAGTAAATTCTGACCATATATTTTTTTTTTGTCTCTGGAAAATTTTAAGCCTATTAATTGTTTTCATCAAAGATTTCAAACTGTAGTCCTGAGCATGGTGACACACCTGTAATCCCAGTGACTGAGAAGGCTGAAGCAGGAAGATGGGAAGTTGGAGGACAGCTTCAGCAATTTAGGGAGGCAATTTAGCAAGACCCTCTCTCAAAATAAAAAATAAAAAGTTCTGGGCACATAGTTAAGTACCCCTGGGCCTCATCCCTCAAAAAAACAAAACCACACACATTTAAAAACAAAAACAAAAAAAAAAACTCAAAATGTAAGAAAACTGAATTCCTATTTCTGATATTTTAGGGTAACACCTGTCTGGAGAATGGATCTTTCTTACTGAATTTTACAGGCTGTGCAGTATGCAGTAAGAGGGATTTTATGCTGATCACAAACAAGTCCCTTAAAGAGGAAGACGGAGAAGAAATAGTTACCTATGATCGTAAGTAGAGGTTTCTTTTTTTTTTTTTCCCTCCTGAATTGGGGATTAAACATAGGGACTTGTGTATGTCAAGCAAGTACTCTACCATTGAGCTATATTCCCAGTCCTTTTTGTTCTTTATTTTGAGACATGGTCTCCCTACATTGCTCAGGCTGGCTTCACACTTTGAATACTCCTGCTTCAGCCTCCTGAGTAATTAGGAGAGATTTCTTTTTTTTAATGCCAGTCTGTTAGCAGATATCAGCTTTTGGAAGTTGATATGTTATACAAATTATTCTGAGGCCTCTTTCAGTCATTTAGCAACACTCAGTTATGAACTAGGTTTTTAAGAAGAAAATATAGTTAACACCTCTTTATGTAGTATCATCAGATATTCTACATGAATTATTTTTTTGGAGGGTAGGTAGGTACTGGGGTTTGAACTCAGGAATGCTATATCACTAAGCTATAATCCCAGCCCTTTTTATTTATTTGTGTGTTTTTTTTAAGATAGGGTGTTCCTAAATAGCTGAGGCTGGCCTTGAACTTGGCTTTGCCTACTGAATTGCTGGGATTACAGGCTTGCACCAACCTGCCCTGCTCACATAAATGACTTTTTTTTTTTTCCTTCGGAATTGAGGGTTGAATCCAGGGACACTACCACTGAGCTACATTCCCTACATCCTTAGCCCTTTTGTTTTTTATTTTCAGACAGGGTCTCACTAATTTGCTCAGGCTGGCATCTTCCTGCCTCAGCCTCCTGAGTCACTGGAATCACAGGTATGCACCAACACACCCAGATACATAAAGTGACTTTTGCAGGTAATTGCAGCTTGTGATTCTGGCTCCAATTTTTTGTATTAAATTATTTTTTTCAGGGACATTCTAAAAGGCTTTATATTACCTTAAACAAGATTCAGGGACTTAAAAAAAATAAACCTTAGGATCATCTATGTGAATTTTCACTTTCTACTATTATAATGTAATCTATTGATGTCTTTGGAGCAGCTATTAAAATGTATAGGGCTTTCCACTCCCTATACTAAATGACCCTGAAATGCGATGGTTTTTTCAGACTTTTTTTTTTAAATATTTTTTTAGTTGCAGATGGACACAATACCTTTATTTTATTTGTTTTATTTGTATGTGGTGCCAGGGATCCGAACCCAATGCCTCAGGCATACTAGGCAAGTGCTCTACCACTGAGCCACAACCCCAGTCCTTTCAGACTCTTTTCTGCCTGAATAGCTTTTTTGGTCTGTTTTTCTTTTGCTTCTATAACTTTGCTACTTTCTTATGTTACTCCTTGTCCTCGATGCTGGGAAACCAAATAAACTATGTTTAATAAAAATAAATAATTTCTGAGGTTGGTGCTAAGAATTTCTATGAGTGAATTTAGTATATGTCTGGTGCCCAGACATGGTGACAGATATTTAAACCATTTATAGCCACCTTTTTGCTTGTCTCCATGTTCTTCAGTATGTTCTGAATATATATGAGGACTAATTACACAAATATTGAAATTTTGAAAGAGGGTATGAAAGACACCAGGCCTGCAGAATAGACTCAAATACTTGAAGAGTGTTCTAAGAGGAATAGTTTTCTTTCTTCTTAAGCATATATCCCTTTAAACTATTTTATTTCCAGGGAGTACAATAGGACATTGGAGTAAGAGCAAGGGCTCTGGAGCCAGAGGGTTTGGGCTTAAATTATGGTTCCAAAGCCTCCTACTTAAGTGGTTGTCAGTGTGCCTTTATTTCCTTATTTCTAAAAAGGTGGTAATGATAGTATCAGTTGTTTTTTGAAAAGATGTAGTGAGTAAACAGGTAAAGGGATCTAAAAAATATCTAGCATATGATAAGCATGCAATAAATCATAGTTGTTAATACATTATTTTTTTTAGATTCTTTGGTTACCATTAAATTCACTCAGTGTCCAGATTGGTTTTTATTTATGTTTGGTTACAGTAATACCGTTACTGTCATTTCTGAGACTAAAAGCTTTTACTTAGACAGACCCAGCTAGCTTAAAAAACACATTTAAGTAATCTGTTAATTGATTATCTTAGACAGCTTTCAATGGGAATTAATAAGTGTACATTAAACCTCTAAGTCTAGACCCAGGTATATGGTGTTGCTACATGACAGATTCTGGATTTCTCAATAAAGTCAATCTAATAATGGGTTTCCTGCTGTGTTGCATATGATAAGAGTTAAGATTCTTCTTAAGTGATATCATGCTAAGAATAGAAATTTTACTATTTTAATTTAATTACGTAAGTCTCTCTTTGTTTTGGCAGATCTGTGTAAGAACTGTCATCATGTAGTTGCCAGACATGAGTATACGTTCAGTATCATGGATGAATTTCAGGTAAATGTATAAATTTAGGGGTATATTATTTGGGGAGTGGCAGATATTAAAAATCACTTTGATAATCTCGATATACTTTTTTATAAATGAAGTTCTAGCAGCTGTTCAGAGACCATCCTTCTCTTTTCCTTGTGCAAGTTGAGAGAGAAACTTTAAATATGGATGGATCTGTGCAAACCTGTTTTCATGAAAGTCGCAAATCAAAATGTGTGCCTTACAAATGGGAGCTCAATACTGTCATTTTTATTTATAAAGAGTAGCTCATTGGGGCTGGGGTTGAGGCTCAGTGATAGAGTGCTTGCCTAGCATGCATAAGGCACTGGGTTTGATCCTCATTACCGCATAAAAATAAAATTAAGATATTGTGTGCACCTAAAACTAAAAAATAAATATTTTTTAAAAATCAATTAAAAAAACAAGTAGTCCATTATGACTTCTTATGAATTTACTATTGTGGTTCCTTTTTCTTTGCCACTCTGTGATGTCACAACTGTTCACTTTAAATGTTGGCCAGTCCACCTAACTATAATTGCTGGGCATGGAAATTCCAGTAAGGATATTATTTTTTTTAAATATAAAAATACTTTAATTCATGTTGATCTCAAAGAAAAGTAAGTGATTTTTCAAGGGATTGAAAATTGGAGAAGAAATGAAATAGGGGTTATTTTTGTTTTCCCTAGTTGTTATATACAGTTGAGCAATGCTGTAGTCTTAGTCTTGGTAAGAAATTGTAATATCATTTGTCAAATAAAATTGGTATATCAAGGTGGAAGGAGAAAAGTTGAACCAGTAGAGAATTAGGGATTTATTATAAGGACTGTGTTCATGCAGTTGTGAGAGCATATGAGGAAGTCTGTAGAGTTTATGGCCAATAGTGCAGGGCTGTTCATAGGTCTGATGATGAGGAAGAAAAGCTGAATCTGGGAGACCTAGGACAAACTAGAACCTTTGATTGTTCCTCACTGCCTCTACTTTCAAGCCTTCAGGTTGAGTTACTTATTTTGTATGAACTACATGTTTATCCCTAGGATATAAAGTTCAGAACTTTTAGTTGTCAAGGGAATTTTTTTTTTAATCCTATAAATTTGAGTAGTACTTTAATTAAAAAAAAAAAAAAAACCTCCCATAACAGAATCAAAAAACAGTATAACCCCTCTCATTTACTCTTATTTTAACATGGAGGAAAGTACTTAATCACCTGTCATAGTCTGGTATGTGCAGTTAATCTAAATAACATCTTGACTATAACTCTTCAACCTCCAAAAATTATGCCTTAAAATATTTATAAGAATGTGTGACTTAGGGCAAAATCAAGATCTCACTGAAATAGTAGTAGCCAAATAAGGGAATAAACATATCATGGCTTAAAGATGCAGCTTTATAGAAGGAAAGGAAGGTGCTTCAAGCTATTTGCCAAAAGCTCCTATGAGTTTTTAGAGCCCCCGAATGGATATTGAGATTGTCTGTTTATGTCCCAACAGAGCCATTTAAATCAATGTCATGGGCTGGGGTTGTGGCTCAAGAGGTAGAGCCCTCACCTAGCATGTGAGAGGCACTGGATTCGATCCTCAGCACCACATACAAATAAAATATTTTATTCTATACTGGTTTTCCTTTATGACTGAATGCAGTGGTCTACAAAGCTGTCCCAGAAAAAGATAAAGGAAGATAGCTGGTAGTCACAATGCCTAGACAGGGTGAAGTGCTCTCAGAAGAACTCTTTTAAAACAGACTCTATCTCCAGTCTCCTCACCCAACAGCTACTTTCCCCAGCCCATATTCTGTACTCTACCATCAGAGGATTTTTGTTTTCCCATGGCTCAACTTTAGCTGTGGTATAATATCCAAGCTTCTCATTTCAGGATTCTCCCTGGGCTGACCCAGCTTCCTTTTCTCTTATTTCCCATGACTCTTCCTTACCTACAACATGTGTAGCAGTGTCCCAACTTTAGACTCTTCCCTCTCTTTTATCAGAGAGGGAGATTTTTATTCTCTCCTCTCTAATGATACCCATGTCATTTCCTCATCAATCACGTTGACTCTTTCTAGCATCCTCTTCCCCCCAACCCCATGGGATTTAAAATTTTTTTTACATTAAACATATTTAGTTCTTTTTTATTTCTTAAAAATAAACTTAAATTCTTTTATTTTACTTCACTACCTCTGTGATTCATCCTGTAATCATTTCTTTCCTTTCTTTGCTTCTTTACTTGAGTAGGTCTATATAAAGACTTACCATTCTCCTTATTTCCCTATATTCCTCTTAAATACCTACAAACTGATTTTCATTTTTGTTTGATTTAAATTACTGTCCCCTAGGTTTCCTATAGTCTAACCAATGATTAATGATTTTTGCCTCTGTTCCTAATCCTCTTAACATCTCTCTGGATCTGATTTTGTTAACCACTGTTATCTTTTTGCAGTATTTCTTCCCTTGGGGTCAATAGCACTTGACTTTTTCTTCTCTTTTATTAAATCACTTTAACTGCTCCTTTGCTTTTTTTTAAATATTTTTTTAGTTGTAGTTGGACACAATATTTATTTTTATATGGTGCTGAGGATTGAACGTAGTGCCTCACACGTGAGAGGCAGATGCTCTACCAATGAGCTACACTCCCAGCCCTCCTTTGCTTTTTTCTCATTTCCTTTCCTATTTTTCCATGATACCCCTGAGCTTTGGTCTCTGGTCAGGAACTTTCACTATACTTCCTCCTATAGTGAGCACACATGCACTCAATCTTAGATCTTCCAAATCTCCTTCTCCAAGCCTAACACCCTACCTGCCCTCCTTTTATCTTTTGTTTCTGACTAAACTACTTAACTTCTATCTTCCATGTCAACAACCATACCCACTCAAACCTAAACTACTGCAGCAGCCCTGTAGTTCTATATACTGCAATGGAATTAATCTTTCTTAAACATCTTATCCTGCACTCCCCGTTTAACCTCTAAGTACAGTTGTTTTCCCTCTTACTACGTATGTCACCTGCTTGCTATTTTCATGTCACATTTATTCATGCATTTTCCTTGATTTGAATTGTTCCTTTTCTGTCTTCAGGCCAATTAAATCGTATCTCTTTCTATTGGAAGTTAAATTCTGTCTCTTTCTTGCTCTTGATGGTACAGTCTATGTTCCTTTCTCCCTTTTCTGAACTTTCCTTGTACTTGCATCAGGCTTTTAATCAAGTAAATAGCCTCTTTGGAACTTTTGTATCATCCTGATCATCACAGGAACTCTTTTTTCTCAGCAACCATGACTTCTTATCCTCATCCCCACCCTTTTATCTTATTCTAACGCCTTTTGGTGGGTGGATATGGTAGGGATACCAGAGATCGAACTCAGGGGTACTCAACCACTGAGCCATATACCCAGCCCTGTTTTGTATTTTATTTAGAGATGGGGTCTCACTGAGTTGCTTAGGGCCTTGCTAAGTTGCTGCAAGTTAGATTTTAAGTTTTTTAAGGTTACACTTTGTCCTTGCCTTCTTTCTCATCTGCCAGTGCACCTAGCATATTGCACAGCACATAGGCACTGAGGAGAAACTTGACAAAGGAAATACTAGTTGAAAATTCAGATACTTGTCTAGCTTCACATGTTTTTCTTTTTTGCGTCTGTTGCTTTTTTCTTGAGGTTGCCATCCTGCTAGTAATGTCTGATGGGTCAGCAGTAGGTGTATTTGAAAGCAATAAAAGTCCTTGGAGAGGATAGATTTTTATTTTATTTTTAGTTCATGAGACTTGTATTTATTCTCTGAGCTCTAGCCTCCATGTATTTTTACCCTTGAGTATAGAGTAGAATTTAAAATTAAGTGTGAGCGCTAGATGTGTGCAAGACCCTATTCAATCCCTAGCATGATCGATCGATCAATCGATAGAAAAAATTGTGTGGTCTTTAAGAAGCAGTCTTTCTAGAGCCACAACTAAGCCCCTTCTTTGAACTCACAGTAGGAAATGGAAAGGCAGTTGCCTGCTTCTGGGGCTTTGTGCCATCGCCAGTGTTTACTTCTGTGACCCTCTCTAATGACTGTCCAGGCTCAGGAAATATACTGCCTTTCTCTCCAATTTCCACACAACCAGCAGCCTCAACATCAACTGTAGAAATACTAATAGATTTTACATAGATCAATGTTTGTTTTCCCAAAGGAGATAAAAAAGATTTTTAAGCAAAAAGTTTAAAAGAAATATGTCTCTATTGTTTATGCCTTTATTAAATATTCTAGAAAGAGCCAGCTAGGAAAATAAGACTTTGCCTAATGACTTTTCTTAAACTCACTGCTATCACATCTGGATATTTATGAAGTCTGAGAAACATGAAACTCCTTAAATAAATGAAATTCTAGGCAGTTAGGTATTAATGTATGAGACACAACATACTAGTGAATTTAACACAATTTTCCTAGAGTAGATTAAAAAACTTGTTTTAGTTTGGGAATTTTCTCCTTTCCCACTGTCTCCTGTTACATATCAATGTTAAATATCCTAGAAGAGAACAGCTCTGAGAACAGAACATATACATAGGGATCCAAATAAGAACATAATCATGTATTTACTTTATATAAACAAAAGGCTCTGGGCAGATGTAGAATTAACATAAGACATTGCTAATAGGTATTGAAGAAACTGATCAAATGTACAGAAAAATATCCATGATAATTTGTAGAGAAGAGCTTTACTGAACAGAATCAGTTATGAAGCACCTTCCTCCCTGTCCCTCAAGGTAATTATGCACTTTGTCTTGTTCTAGGAATACACCATGCTGTGTCTGTTATGTGGCAAAGCTGAAGATACTATCAGTATTCTCCCTGATGACCCCCGACAAATGACTCTGTTATTCTAAGACTCCTTCTACAGTTCTGTTGTAACTGTGTTATGTTGGTTCATAGAAAGCCTGATTGTTTAATAATGAAAAGTTCTCTGCATATTTTCTTTCATGCTAAGACCTAAATATTCTTTGAAATAAAAGTAATTTGGGAAATTATTGTACCTAGAGTTGAGTTCTTCTGTTGAAGTTTCTAGTTCACATCAGTGTAGCCGAAGTGAAATATCTTTGTTGCAGTTATTTGACCAGAAAAATAATTAGAATGAGTGCACACCTAGTGCCCAGATCTTGGTTTCTCCTAAAAGGAACCAGGACTTCTTGGAAAAATGTCTGGTGGACTAGAGCAGGAAATAAGTATCTGGAAATGAGCCTGGAGCATCTTATGTCACAAAAAAAAAATTAAGTGCTAATTTTTAAAATGTCAAAATTATTAGGGTTTTATCAGACAAAGAAGTCAAATGGAGAAGCTTCCAGTGACCAAAGCTGGAACAATTTGAGCAGCAAAATAAAATTATATTGGATTATAACCCAAACTACATAATAAATAACTGTGAGTCCTTCATTACTGGTAAATAAATGGTTGAATGAGGGAATGAATAAAGAAATGGGAGAGAATAGACACATCTTCTGTATAGAAAAATTCCAAATAATTTCTGTAGATACTCCCCACCTGAAGCATAGGCTGTTCATAGTGACTTTCTTCCAAGAAATATGGAACTGGGGAATAGCTTTACAGTGGAGAAACCTGATAAACATTAGCTCAGCCAGGTTATCAAGGTTAACATCATCAGTGATGAGCCATGTTGATAGCATATACTCTTTTTTTAAATATTTTTATATGTATGGACCCTTATTTTATTCATTTATTTATATGTAGTGCTGAGGATCAAACCCAGTGCCTCACCCATGCTAGGCAAGCTCTCTACCACTGAGCTACAGCCTCAGCCCCGATAGCATGTACTCTTAATGTGATAGGATGAGAATGGTGCTTTACCTCTGTAGTATTCCTTCCAAAAAGCCATTACCCCGGTCTAAAATCATGAGAAAAACATCACACAAATCCCAATTGAAGGACATTATGCAAAGTACTTGACCAGTGCTCCTTGAAACTGTCAAGTTCTTAAAAAATAACAAAAGTCTGATAAACAGTCACAGACAAGAAGGGCCTAATAAGACATGACAATTAAATGTAGTGTGGCATCCTAAAGGGTATCCTGCACCAGAAAAAAAGGACATTTGGTTGAAACAGGGAAACTGAATAGCATGGTTTCAGTCACTCCAAAGGGATCTTAGAATGTCTTATTTTTCTAGTTGAAAGAGCAATTATGGGGGTCATAAACCCGAGCATTTAGGTCTCTCTGCTATTTGATATCAATATAATCATTAAACATAGCATTGCTTGGGATTTCATTGTCCCATTCCTATAACATTGGGTTAATAAAATGTGATATACTCATTTTGCATTGTTAGGAGATCCAAATGAATTAATGTAAAATACTTTGGAAAGCATATAAAGTACAAAGTACAATGTGGTGGCTTCAGTTAGTTCTTCTCATTCTGAAACCAGAACTTCAGGGGTCCAGCTTTAGATACTGTTTCCTCTTTACATATAAGAGATTAGAAAATTCTGAGCTAAAGGTTTGCTTATAAGGAAAAAAATTAGCCAATTGTTCATTGTTGATACCAGGGAAGAGCTTTATTATGTAACAGCATGGTAATAATAATAGCTGAGCTTTACTGAGTACTTCCTCTGTGCCAACAGACCATTTAAAGCACTTATTTAATCCTCATTAACACCACCATAAGATAAATACCATCCTTATTCCAACTTTAGAGCAAGAAAAAAACTAAGACACAAAGAAGTAAAGTAACTTGCTCAAGGTCATACAGCTACCACAGTGGCTGCTTTCCAGCAGTGGTGTTTGGTAAATATGAGGTACAAGGGTCTGTCAAGGTTAGGAAGAGGTTAAGAATATCAGTGACAGCACTCCAAGGAATCTCGGCATGTCAGATAAAGATTTATTACTCAGAAAAGTTAAGTCAGCTGCTCCTTAGGGATCAGTTGTTTTATTCCTGGAAAATGTTTTCCATTTTGCTGCAAATCTATATCTGACCTGCTGAGGAAATCGTTCAGTGAAATGAATCCAAAAAGCAGAGAAAATGCTTCATTACTTTAAATAGAAGCCCTAGGCCCATTATATCCTCTATATTCCAGAATTGTCCTGTCTTGGAATTTGCTAATGCTTCCAACTTTGTCATTCGAAGCTCAGGAGTATGATCTTATATGCCCTTGCTGGTATCCTTGTCTATAGAAGAATATCTGTTTTGAACTATGCATTACAAAAGTTAAAAACATAAGATCCTATCCATACATTTGATTATTATTATTCAATCAGTGTGATGATGTGTTTGTGACACTGTCTTTATCATCTTTCAGACCCTTTCGTGGGTCAAATGGAATAAAGACCTCTTGAATCCAATTGCACTGAATCTTTGTTTTTCTGTTCAAATAAAGTAATCAGACAAAAGCATTAGTCTTCTTTACTCTCCTTCCTGAGATTTAAGAAGGAAAAGAAATCACCTGTACATGTTGTTGGAAACCTGGGCTGGTCCTCATTCTTTTTCTACTTCCTTCATCATGTATAGATCTGGCTTCTTGCTAGTAAGATTGTTGAAGTTAAAAGCTCAGCTTCTATTTTTTGTTGTGGTATTATCTTAGCTAGCTCTGTCTTTCTCAAATGTTCTTGGTATCTCCCAGTAGACAGAACCTTCCAGTACTGATTAATTGATATATGACCTAGCTTGGGTACAATCAGGTATATTCTGTTACTTGTAATTTATCATAAAGAGGTGTATGTTCACATTTCTTTATTTCAGTATATCAGAAATCCTTTCAGTTTCATTCTCTCATTTTGTGAGCAAGGTTAGTTTCTTGTCTGAATTTGAAGTTCTCAATACTAAAATGTGTGTTTCTTGCTGTAGTACAAGTCTCCATTATGAGATGGTTGGTTAGAAAGGAAATCAAGAGAACTCAGTCCAGAATAGGCTTTACCACTTGTTAATGGAGAGACATTGTACCAGTTATCCTGTCTGTACCTCACTTTCTTCAGTAGAAGAATGGAAACAATTAAACCTCCTTCACAGAGTTTTAATCAAATCAAATGATATAATGTAAGTGGAAACATTTTTTGATGTTGTATAGTGTTGGGGTCAGGCAGCTCTCGGTGGCCTTTATGAAGGAAAATCTAAGCTAGAAGAAGCTCAATTGGAATTAAGAATAGATATTTTAGAGTTAGACTGATCTGGCTTTAACTTTGGGCTCTGCTCTTTATTAACCTTTTGTCTCTGGCAGGTCTCTTGCCCAACTACTTTCTCTTTTAATAGAAATAAAAATTCCTCATGGGATCTGTATGAGGATTAAATAATCTGATATATGGGACAGTGTGTGAACATAGTTAATATTCAATAAGTGGTATTTTGGATGATGGTTGTGATGATGATTATAATAAAGTTCTAGAGTTTGGCTCAGTATTTCTTAAACTAAGAAGACATAACTGTGTGAACACAGTCATGAAAACAGCCAGCAATTTCAGTCTCTAAACCTTCGCCCCCTAAAATCACTTCTTCCTAGCTATATATATATATATATTTTTTTTTTTTTTTGTAAGAGCCCTTAGAGAAGCAATTCTGTGTCATTTCTCTAAATTGAGCAGCATTACCTCTCCACTTCTGGCAGAGCCTGCTAATGAGACCTCTCTACTTCTGAACACCCCCAGGGAAATTTGATTAAAAGATTTTGTTTATCCAGGAAAGTGGGTGATTACATTAAAGCTTTACCTCATGACCATTTCCAGGCTGCTGCTTCTGAGGATGAAAGGGTGGCAAATGAGATGAGGAATAAAAGAAAGGAGCCCTTTTTGTGTGGTTTTATCAATACAAGAAAAACTTTAGTAAAGCTGAAGGCCTTGTAAATCAGTCTCCTCCCATTCTCCTCTCCTGTTTCCTCTGGAGCCAAACTGATCAGGTCTTGTCTGAAACACAGCATTTCCCCTGCCCACGTGAGGAGCCTTCTTTCTAGCATTATGGCCCCTTTGACACTCTGCAAAATTACAGACACCCAGCTTCCCATTCCTTTGGGAATCCCTAAATAATTCTTTAAACTAGAGCCTCATGGGAACGACCCAACACCCCACAGTGGCATATCAGGCCCTAAAATGCCTGTGGCATAACAACAATATCTGGGAGAGCTGGCTGTTTTGGGATGTAACAAGCTGTAGCACTATCAAGATGATGCACAAATCATACCAGCATCCAATATGAATTCCTACTGTTATCAGAGAAGCAACTTATCTCTGCTGTTACGGCTCTAAAATCAGTGTCTTGCCCGCCCCTCTCCCGAGCAGTTAATTTTAAGAGAAAGAATCTGAAAGGTTCAAGTTTTTAGAAGAGTCAAGTTAAGGTCAGTCTTAATTTAGCAGAAGGCCCTGCAGAAGGATGCCAGGGGATTCCCACTGTAATGCTCAGGTTACCTTTTTGAAATATAGCACCATTGATGACAGCTCTCATTGAAGGTTAGACAGTGTAGATTCTTAACCTCTATTCCACTTTTTCTTCTCAGATAATGCCAGTGCATGAAAAAATAGTTATAGGGTACAGATTCAAGGAAAAATACTTCCCCATTCTACACTGGGATTCTCAAGCAGTGTGTCTAGTTTGTAGAACTGACCCTTCAGAGCTTCAGTGAAGAGAAGTAAAATGTTCCATCTAGTGGTCAAAGAAGAAAAAGTTGAAATGAGAAGGTTCCAGGATGAGGTTTATTAGGCATAGTGATGGGACAGTGGCCTCTCAGCAGGTATCATCTCCAGAACATGATAGAACCTGGTCTTTGTGGTATTGGTCCTTTCTGAATATGCCTGCACTATAGAAGGACTCTGGGACACCCTCCCTGCTAAGCCACTCAGCACACAGCGCACCAATCATGTTTTGGCAGATTGTAAAATGTCTCTTTTCAGGGAGGCCTTCCCTCTCATGTCCCCACCCTCATGGAGGAAGAAGTGAATCCAATCATTCATGCCTCTGTTTGTTTATCTGGTGCCTGAATTTGTGAATATATGAATTTGAGAAGAGTAGGGTACATATGAATTTTAAAGGGATGGAGGATCATTCTAGTTAAAGATTGAAAACATCCAATAAGTTAATCGGGGGAAAAGATAAAGTGCTCTTTGTGTTTCCAGTAACTGCACCCTCTATACTCTTGCCATCAGTAAACGTTGACCAAACTGCCTTCCAGAAATGTCTAGGTACAGGTAATGTCTAGTTGTCTCAGTACTCACAGTGATATGAAGTCTTCCTGATAATAATCTTCCAACGACCTCCCAGCATGCTCAGCCAAAGGGCCCACTGTCTTTAACTTTTCTTCACTACTTCTTCCCCACCCACAGTTTTGAAGAGCCATAAAATAACACAATTCACATTTTCTGCCACTGCAGACCATGACCAGAGCCTGCTGTCCAGACAGTAATCAGGGTATCCCCTTGATCGAAGCCTCCCTCCACCACACCTTTGTGTGCTGCCAGTGCCCCTGTCCCACCTGCAGTTTGTACCACCCTCTGCCCTCTGTCTAGGAAGAAGACACAAAGAGCCTGGCCATTTCTACATCAGCCCTTTATTGGACTCATCCCGCAGGCTGGCCCTGGGCCCTTCACACTTCTCAGACACCACCCATAAGGATTTAGGAAGGTGCCATCATTCTGTGAAGGCCCAAAGCCTGCCCAGTCTTAGAGCCCCAAGTTGGTCTCCAGAGGGTTGAGAGAGGAAAAGGAAAGAGGCAGATGGGAGAGGCTGGGCTCTTCAATGAAGGGGTGTCATGGAGGGAAGGCTTCGGTCCAGCAGTGGCTCCCAAGGGGACACTGCATCCTGGGGAAGAATACTCAGGGACAGGACAGAGCAGGAGATGGTGTGCGGAGCAGCTCCCGTCTATATGGCAACTTTGAGGAGGCGCTTGATGTCCGGCTCGATGTTGATGGTGGGGAAGGTGCGGCTGTAGCGTCGGAAGGGCTCCCCCTCCGGCCCTATGAGGAACTTCTCAAAGTTCCAGGACACATCTGAGCGACGCACTGGACTCCAAATGATGAACTTGGGATCGGTCATGAGGGAAAAAGGGTCATCATGCGGGTAGGGCAGCTTGTCCTTCAGGTAGGCGAAGACAGGATGCTCGTTCTGCCCATTCACCTCACACTTTTGGAGAAGAGTAAAGGTGGGCTGGTATCCACCCCCTGGGCGGACGTACTTGAGACTGTTCAGGATCTCCTCATTCTGACAGTTCTCCTGGGGGAGGAAGAAGACAGAGCATGGAAAAGGGTCAGGAAATGAAGGTTCCACAGCATGCGAATCTTCCACCCTCCTACACTCCCTTCCCAGGATCCTTTTTCCCTAGATGGGTGTCCTTCATTTGCTCTGCCCTTCTCTAGGCTTGGTTTTTTTCCCTCTCCTAGCTATTGTTGATGGTGTGCTAGGCCATTTCTGAAAGTTCTTGGCGTTCCTAGCTTGGCTGTTCTTATACTTAAAAATTTAGTATGTTTGAATCATTTCTTCTGACTCCAATGATCCTGAGCAGTGCTTTTTAAAGCTTCAAGTGACCTTGAGTTTCAGGCAGACAAAGAAAAGAAAGGGAGGCTCAGGTCATACTGCCCAGAACCTGTCGGTCTACTTACCTCCCTGCCTTCCTGTCTACACATGCACACACATGCTCCGCACTCCCTACCCCCACTCTCCCTTTCTTCTGCCCTGGTTGTGCCTCCCTGTTTCTGATTACACATTGAGTGCAGCCTTTGCCTCTGCTCTGCTCAGCTCCTCAAAGCAGAGTGAAAGTGAGGCCCAGGGGACTGGGACTTAGAGCGTCTAGCTTTCCTCCTGCCTTGTCCTAGAACTGAAGTGCAAATAGGACAACACTTTGGGGAAGAAAGACCCCAACCAAGAAAATGTAGTTTTCAGATGTCATAAAGGCAAAGCAAGTTAGAGACCGCAATGAATGTAGTCTAAATGGAACTACTTAGTGACCATCAGGAATGACTCAAATAGGATAGAGGGTTGAGGGTTCTAAGATAAGTGTGTGGAGGGTGGGCAGTAAAGGAAACAATGCTTGAGAGTTAAAGATTGTGAATATGTAATTACTTTTTCACTTGTAGGCTGCTGACCAAAGCTCCTCCTCTCTACTCACTGTTCTCCGCTACGAAGGCTTTAGCTCAGAAACTGTTACCTATCTTTCCCTTCCCGCTGCCATCCCAGTCTTGTTCCCACTCAGCACTTCTCACCCCGAAAACTCAAAAAGGCTGGTGAGATCCCTTATTTTCCACCCCTTCCTCCCCAGTCTGAGAGTCAGATGTCTCCCTCTGGGAAAAAGTCCCCACCTCTGATCTACCAGTTCCTGCGAGTGCAGTCAGTTCCCAGCCATCATAGCATTCATGAGCCTGCTGACTCTATTAGATTTCTAATCTCTTAATGCAAATGGCTGGCTGGCTTCTAGGTTGTGGTCCCTCTGGTGACTAGCTAGGCGGAAGTAACAGGGTAAGCCTGGGGTACCTCTAGGGCAGGAGGTTTTACCCATTCTGTCTCTCCTGCCTGGTAAAGGCTGGAAAGTGAACTGGGAGGGAAGGAACAGTGAGAGCAGTAATGGTTGGACTCTGGTTTGTCAGTCAGTGATCCTTCAGCCTTCCTGCTTACATCTTGGTTAATTTTACATGGCCTTTTTATGCCATTTCGAATCGAACTTAGGGGATTATAATTAGAGTGTTTGCTTGGGGACATTCTGCCTGCTTATACAATTAAAATCACAAGTAAAAATAGAAGAATACCTAAGAGATAACTTAAGGTGTGCAGGCTGAAGATTCATAACAACTCGACCTGTTATTCAGACACAGATGTGTGTGGTGCCCAGAGGGGACACACATGCAAGTTACAAATCTTTCCCTTTCGTCATATTCACTTTCCACTGACTGATTTAAACAATCTTCAATCCAAGTAATAAATTGCTTACATTTGCATAATGCTTTATATTTTTCTAGTTACCTTTTTATATCTCACCCCATGAATCTTACAATAATCCTCTGAGCTAAGTGGTAATATCTCCAATTTACACATGAGGAAACTAAAACAAAAATCAAGTGTCTCTTCCAAGGACACAGAGCCATTAAAGAGCAGAACTTGAGTGAGTCCAATTCTAGTTTGATTCTTGACCTTCTGGTTCCTCCATTCATTCATTCAACAAATATTTAATGAGTACCTTCAGTACCCTAGGCAGTGAGGACACAATGGAGAGAAAAATAGACCTGGAACCAGCCTTCATGGACTACAGTGAGAAGACAGTAAATAATAAACACCCACCCCAGTGTTTAGTCTCAGAGCATGTCTACTGCCCCTGGGTATTCACATGCTCCCAAAGACCTGGGTTGAAGAACATGCCCACAATTCTTGACACTCAAACACGCAAAGTCATTCACCCCCTTCCCTTATCCTACTCAAGCTTCATCAACCCAGTTCCTTGGGCACAACACAAGGGACACCTCACCTGATGTCCAAATTGGTTGCAAGGGAAACCAAGAACCACCAGGCGCCTGGGAAAGCGGCATTGCAGGTCGTTGAGTTGGGTGAAGTCCCGGGTGGTAGTGCCTCAGAGAGAGGCCACGTTCTCAATGAGCACTGCCCTGCCTCGGAAGGTGTTGAAATCCACCTTCTCGCCATCCAGGCTGATGGCACTAAGGTCATAGAAAGACTTGGCGATGTAGGCCATGGTGAAGCGCAGAGTGAGTCTTGCAGAGTGCTGTGCACCCACTTACGGGTCTCTCAAGGGAGTGGGGAGGAAGGAGGAGCTAGGAAGGACAGAAGATCTCACAATGGGCCTTTGCGTTCTCAGGATGACTTAGCAAAAGCAGGGACTCACCTGTATGTGTTGTTTGAACAAGGTGATTGCTCCTCCTACTTACAGTCGCCTCCCTGCCCCACCTTGCTGGCAACCTGGAAAGGACCAATTTGATAGCTATGAGCAGATGTAAATAATTCACTACTTGCAGGAAACCAGAGACCTAAAGGTCGCATAGGGAGGAAAAAAGGGAGGGAGACATACAAGATTGACTCCTGCTTTCCCCAGCAAGTTATTTTCACTTGGCACAGACATTTATTGAATGCATTTATGGAGTGCCAGTCTGAATTGTGCAGAGAGGTGAGTCTGCTGAGATCTGAAAGATGAGGAAGAGAATTGAGGAGTGTGCCCACCTGACTCAGATGACCCCTGAAATATACATATTACTCTTTACCTATTTCTATTTGGCTATTACCTTCCAAAAGCACAAAATCCAAGGTACCCTTGGGAGGACTTTGTGTCATTTCCTAGAAAAAATGACTTTCAGTGCCTCAGCTTGCACCAGGCAAAAGAGATGAAGACTTTCAGTGAGTGGTAGTCCCTGTCCTGCCTTGTCCCTGCCTTGCACCATCTCCTGTGTTATAGCCTTCACCTCCACTTCACCCCCACCCCCAGTCATGAGGATGGAGTGGTTGCTAGGATAACGGTGAGAATGAATCACAGAACAGGTGGGTAAACTGTATCCCTTCTTTCCCAAAAGGTTCAATCCCCAAGAGTTGTTTGTTTTTTCCCCCTTAGAGGTGTGTGTGTGTGTGTATGTGTGTGTGTGTATGTGTGTGTGTGTGTGTGTGTGTACTGTGCGGACCCTCTCCCCACAGAAGAGTGCATCGAGGCTGGGCATGGTGGTAAATACTTGTAATCCCAGTAGCTCGGGAGGCTGAGGCAGGAGGTTCATGAGTTCAAAGCCCGCCTAAGCAAAAACGAGTTGCTAAGCAACTCAGTGAGACCCTGTCTCTAAATAAAATACAAAATAGGGCTGGGGATGTAGCTCAGTGATTGAGTGCCTCCGAGTTCAATCCCCGGTACCCATCCCCACCAAAAAAGAGTGCATCAAAGCACGGCTACTGTCGTTCTTGATCCAAGTGGGCTGTCCATGATGTCAATACCAGTCACACAGCCTGGCATCTTAGGACTTGCTAAGGACTATCAGGGGAGTCTCCCCCAAATAAAAAGCCCACAGAAACTAAACAGACCTTAAAGCAACTTCATTCTTTGATGTACCCACCAACCAAATAAATCACTTCTTAAAAAATGCCTTGGTTTCTCTATCAGTTAGACTAGCTTTCCCTGGCTTTGGGATTTTAGTGTGAAATTTCAGTAAGAAGGCAGATGTTTTCCTGGAGAGTGTTTCCACAGGTACACACCCATTGGGAGCTGCCTCTTAGAACAAAGAGTAAGCAAGACTGGGGAGCAGCTGGTCTTGAGAGTGATTTGTTGAGATGGAGAAACTACTCACCAGGGAGCACCTAGCTTTTCTGCGTTGCGGCGTGTTCATGGCTGTTTAAGTGCACAGGAACCCCATATCTCATCTGGCTGCTCACTAAAAGCAAGCTTCCATGATCTAAGTGGGAACGGAATCTTTTGCCACCAGAAGGAGTGGCAGGAACAAAGTGTGTCCTCTGCTAAGGCTGAAAAAGTTCCTGGATGTCACCCAAAAGTGTCCATACCAAGCCACTGAGTCAGAGGGACTTGGCTCTGACAGTGACTGAAACCTTGACATTAACTTGCCATATTTATCTTCCTGCCTAGAGCTTCCCCTAGTACCTGGGCTCCGGAGACACCTCTTAGTGGCTGCCCCTTTGCAGGCCTTCTTGGGCCAGGCCATAGGAGCTCAGAGTATGGCGTTGGGGACGCCCTCCCTTCCCTCTAGCTCAACCTAGGATCCTTAGGAGTCTCCTAGTTTCCTCAATTCTCATAATTGATGAAGACTGGTAAGATGCTCCTAAAATACCTCTGTCCCCAGCTCTGCCTCATAGCAGCCCCACTTCTCAGAAGCTCATGACTTTGGGCCTGTACTTCAAATGTGTGATTTGCACAGCTTTCTGCAGGACACTGGTTATTCTGGAAGCAGCACTGGACAGAAAAGCTCAGGTGGGTGGTTCTCAATTCTGACTGTAAATGAGATTTCTTCTTTCTAAATTGAAATGCCAAACCTTCACTACTACTACAGTGGTTTCCAGCCGTAATGCCACAAGTTACTTGGGGCCCTGTGACAAATCCTTGAAGTTCTCCAAGCAGTTTCCTTATCTGTTGAGTGTGGATAAAGATAACCACACTCTCTCTCTCATATAGTGATTATTAGAAACAGAAGAGCCAAGTATCACAGTGTTCTGTAAACTGTAAAGTACGGTTAAGATCTTAAGACTACTGATTGTCCTGCCCTCACTCCTTTCTTTCTTCATCTTTCTATCCTTACCCCCATACATTCTCTAGCTCCTTAACCAAATCCATATCCCAGAGTGTTTATTATTATTATTTTTGGCAGGACTGAGGATTGAACCCAGGGCTTCATATATGCTAGGCAAGTGCTCTACCACTGAGCAGCGTCAGCCTCCTTAACTACCTCGAGTCCTGAGGTTCCACGTCTGCCTCTCTCCCCTAAGATATCCAATTACAAATCTGAGGGATTACTCAATCCCTTCTCATGCCTTCACAAGACCTGTTCCTAATCCACTGAACAGATGAGAACTACACTGGCCTCAAAGACTTGTTTAGACTTGACTGGGATGTTCAGCTTCTTCCCTCAGACACGGATGTTCAGTCCTCTCAATGACTGTGCTTCATCTTGTTTCTTTCAAGGCAGGGGGCCTTTGCTTTGAGTTCCCCTACAGGTAGCACTAGCGAAGGCACACACACACACACAAAAAAAAAAAGGACAAAGTTCTCCATTTCACCATCACTTTCCTGCTGTCGCTTTAGAATTCTGAGGTCTCTTCTACCAGAGGCCTCCCCCTCCCAGGTTACCACCAGGGTCCCAGTGAAACCGCCTCCCAGGAACTCAAACAGCCAACCATACCTGTGGTTTGAAATATTCTTTATTTTGTAAACATCTGTGTTTAAAATAGATGAACCCTGCTCACAATTCATATAATGGACCCAAGACACAGTACACAAAGTTCACCCATCACAGGGAGATGGTGGGGCTCAGGAGCAGGTGGTGCCAGGGGCTGAGCTGTCTCAGGACAAAGTGGCAGAGGTACTAACCAAAAGACAGGCTGGGAAAACCTGCTCAACATTCCTGGTCTAATGGCAGCCCAGACCACCTCCTGCACTAAAGTTTGGGGGCAAGGGGCCGACTCTGGTACCTGGGGAGCGCAGCTGCATCCTAAAATCCCAGCCCTCCTCTGCTCCCAGCCATGACCCTTGTGGAGAGAGCTCATCAGTCCATAGACTCCTGGGCCCATGTTCTCCCTTCTCAATCCCTTAGGATACAGTAAAAACAGAATCCCTCTTTCCTGAGGGGGTTAGGAGAGAGACGCTGGAACTCTGCCTGACCTGCAGAGGAAGTGACAACACTGGCTCACAGGTTGGAGCCAGTGCCTAATATAACTTCTCCTCTCTCTCATCCTTCCTGAGGATAGGCAGGGTTGACATTACCACTCCCATGCCCAGGGTGCTTCTGCATAAGTTGGTCCTTTAAGAAGCGCCCAGCCACTCATGGCTTCATCCTAAAGAACCAGCTCTCTGAACTTACTAGCCAGTGATTTGTTCCTCTCTTCCTTCCACCGTGCACACCTGTCCCCCATTCCGAAATCCTGAGCCACCCTCTCCTGCTAGCCGTTTTTCCCGGTTTGGTAAGCCTAGAGAAAGTGCCTAATGATTTTATTTCCACCTCCTTCTTCTTTGAAGAGTAAGAAATAGAGCTCTTCTCTTCAACAGGTATGTGCCCTGGTTTTGGGTCCTTGGGGCTCGATGCCCAGTTCTTTGCTTTGGCTCCAATCCTAGCATGTAGTACAGACTAGGAATGATCCTCTCACCTAGGCTTCTCCCACTCCAGAAAGGTCAGGAGGAACCCAAGCAGGGCTGGCAATTGACTTGTTCCCTCTTGAAAGGGAACAAGGACTCTTGGACTATTTGGCGGTTAAAGAAAATTCCTGAACACAGAACTCTGGAGACGGAAGTCCTTTTCCCTCCCCACAGTGCAATTGGCACACCCTCGAGCCTACATAGGAGCAAGAGGCCAAGATGAGCACTTTGACTTAGGCTGAAGAGTCCCAAGCATTCCTACCCAGGGCCTCCTCCTTTTCTTCCCATGAAATCTTTGCTTTTCTCCCACAAACTCTGGGACCCAGGAAAACCCTGACTGCTGAAGGCTGGGTTTAGTGAAAGAAGAGTGATGTGGTTACATCACCTCTCACCTCTGCCAGGAAGTATGGGAAAGTTCTCTTCTGCCACAAGAGAGGTAAAGCAGGGCTGGAGACATGCTCAGTGGAAGAGTGCTAGCCTAGAGTGTATGAGGCCCTGCTGTCACCACATCCCCTCTACTTTACAAAATGCTGACCCTGGCCTGCTTGCCCTTGCTCTGGCCCTGACAGCTAGGAGCCAGTCCTTTACTTGTGAGTGCTCCTCTTTCTGGACTGCACGGTTAGTTTGCCAGTGCTCTGGGCCCAGGGATCTCCTTGCCCCTGTGGTACCCTCAGGCCTTTAGATTCAGGGGCCCATGTGGTGAGAAGTTGTGTACACCCTGCATGGGAGGTAGAGACTTGAGGTGACTTTTTATCCCTGCAACCCCTCATCATTTTTTCTCTCTGAAACACCTGCCTCTGAGCTCAGTTCCCACAGAGGCAGGTAGGCAGCTAAGCAAGGCCAGAGCTCAGGCAGGGGGAGCACAGAGAGGTAGGACAGCCCAGACATGAGGACCACCAGTTGGTGTTTCCTTCCTACCTCCGTGATCCACTTTCCCAGGTCACTGGGGAGGCAGGCCCATGGCACAAGAAGGGGCAGAGACAAGGAGAAGAGGAAGAAGCACCCTTGGCCTTTGGCCCACCCACAGAGCAGGTGGAGGTCCCCCATGGAGCAGAGGATGGAACATCCCTATGAGCCTGGGTCCACTCCCTTAGGCAGGGCTGGGAAGGAAGGAGCTGCTCTGGCAGCCACACAGGGACACACAGGCAAGGGTAGGAGGAGCTTTGAGAGGAAACACATTTGAGGGAAGGAGGTGAAGAGCGGGAAGAAAAGAGAAAAAGCAGAGAGGACCAAGATGCACTCAGAAAGAAGGAGCCTTTAAGCAGTCTTGACTCCAGCCTCAGCCATTGTCCAGGGAGCTCTGGTGGAGGGACGGCGCTCAAAGCACACCATGGGGGTCATAGCAGGCCCATGGCTGGGGAAACAGGCTGAAGGATACCACTCCAGGGTAGAGGGGCTGGGGGCAGAGGCTGCTCAGAGATGCCAGCAGAGTTGCTCTCAGGGCCAGGCAGGGGAAGAGTAGCAGCTACTGATTTTTGACAGGGTTGTCAAATGAGAGGCAGCAGTAGGCAACGCCCAGGCTCCCCTGTCTGCCCACAGGCCTCTTGAGGGAAAGGGAAAGGGGTTTGCCCCACACAGGACCCTCAGCACCAGCAGGTTTTTGAAGAGTTCGCTGGGCCCTCGGGTTTGCCCTCCTCCTCTTCCAGCTCTGCCAAGGCCAGCTCGTTACTGGCTCGTATCCGGAGACCATCCAGCTCCTTCCTGTGGGCCTGCAGCACCAGCTCTGTCAGACGAGTGAAAGACTGGGAAACCAAGGGGCACCGGTTAACCAGTGTCTTCTCTTCCCGGCAACTCTGTAACTGCCCAAGGGGCCAGTCCTATCTTATCTTGGCTCCTGTCTCCACCTCCTCCTCTCACCTCCCCACTCTGCGGACTCAACCAGAGGCAGGACAGCTGCTGCCCAGTGGTCTCACCTCTTTAATATTGAGGTTGGTGCAGGCACTTGTTTCATAGAAGTCCATGCCGTACTCCTTAGCCAGCTGCAAGAGAAGGACATTTCTGAAAGAGAGTCAGTAAGGGAAGGGAGGCACCCACGCCACCTCGCATGTACACTCGCAGACCACGGGGTGCAGTGACAATTTCTCAGAGCAGACCACTTCTCAGATGAGACTGGGCTCCTTCCAAGACATAGACTGGCACAGAATGGGGAAAGATGATCCACAAATACACCCCACTCCTCCAACACGCACGTACACCCCCAGTTCACACATCATACCTCAGGACACAAAGATGCCAAAATGCAGTGGTAGTGTGGCATGTTAGCAAACACTATGGAGTGACTCTGGAGTGCAAGAGACCCAGATGAGGTTCCCTGGGACTGCCACACAACAGCTGTAGGACCTTGGACAAGCTACTTATTCTCCCTAAGCCCCAGCTTCCTCTTCTGTTAAAGGAGAATGACAGTGTCCATGACCTAAAGTAATGGGTTGATTAAATGGGGTCATGCTCCTAAAAGCACTTATTGAGCACAGTGCCCTACTTGTGGTGCTTGATAAATACTGTTATTCTCACAGGGTTACCTCTACTTCCACATTTTCAATGACTATGTATAATTTTTTGTAACCAAAAAAATCAATTTTATTTTAAGGGCTAATGGAATGCTATTGACTGAAGAGGGAGAGAAAAATTCTCGAGGTCCTCAGAGTGGGTGGAGGACTCTTGTCTCATACTATCAGTCTTTCTTCCTGTTCTCTGGGAGGATGGTCTTCCTGCATGCTTGAACATTCCACACCTGACTGAGGGCCTTTCACTGCCTCACTTTCCTCCCTACTTCTTTCCCAGCACAAGGAGGATAGGAATCCATTTCCTCACTGCAAAACATAGCTGTGCCTGGATGTGATTCAAGAAGACATTAGCAACTTGAAGTCCTTCCTCATCCCTAACAGGGATGCTCTGGTAAGTCCCTGTTTTGAGGAACTTGGACTTTGGACCTACAAGAGTTGGTACCCAAGAGGTCTTTGTTTCTGGATGGACCCTAAATACTGTCCTGAAGGACAGAGAGCAGCCTCTCAAAGATGGCAACTCCCCAGGGCCTGAAGGTGCTGTGGAACATGTGAGAGGACCTGACGATGGTGAGTGCACTCCCAGTCCCCGCTCCCAGGACTGGCCCTGGAGGTGCTACAGAAGGACTCCACCTACCTGCTGCCCTTGCTCTCTCCCCACCTGCCGTTTCTGCTCTTCATCAGCCTTGTTCCCTATAAGGATCTTCTGGACACCTTCTGGTGCATACTGGAGACAAAAGAGAAGCAGAAATGTCACTGAGAAATGCCCTTCCCTCCCATCTCCCCTGTCCCAGTCTACACTGACCTCTAAACCACCACCAAGGTTAAGAGCCCTAGGGACTCGGTGGAGTGACCAGAGGCAAGTGTCAGGCTCTGCCAAGTACAGGGGTCCCCCATTATCTGTGGTTTTGCTCTCCCAATTTCAGTTACCTATGGTCAACTATGGTCTAAAACTTAAATGGAAAATTCTAGAAATAAACAATGTGTGTTTAAGTGCTAAGTTTCTTTTATTATAGTAAAATTATTTTATTTTACTATGTTATTGTTAATCTCTTACTGTACCTAATTTATAAGTTAAACTTTATCATAGGTATGTTTGTATAGGGGAAAAAAGGGTCTGGTACTATCTTTAGTTTCAGGCATCTACTGGGGTCTTGGAATGAGAGTCTTGGCATATAAGGAGGGACTACTATACCTTGACTGACCCCAGAGTGTCCCAGGGGTGGCTTAGGATAGTGCCTTGTTGGGTTGAAAAAATGGTACCTGAATTGGAAAGGTTATACTTAAGACTGGCAGCCCCTGTTCAACAGATAAGGAACTGGGACCCAGAGAGCTCAAATGGCTTGCCCAAGGCTCCCCAGCTATCGGCAGAGTCATGAAGCCCAGAGTCCTGTAATTGCACCCAGTCCTGAGATTTCAGGAAGGAATCTACTCCCAGAGCGGGTATGGAACTAACTTATTTCCAGGAGAGACACGGCATGGAGGTCTGGCAAGGAACAGAGCATGAGAGCATGGCCGCTTCAGCTTGCTCTGCATGACTCACCCACCCAGAGCTCTTGTTCCAGCCGGTAGAAGGCAGGGTTTAGGTTTCCTGGTAGCATTAACTCACCAGCCCTTGAGAGCTTTGGCCCTTCCCATCTGGCCTGGCCCCTGCTTTACCTTCCCCTGAGGTGCCCTTTCCCCACCCATCAGTGAGGTGGTGTTTCCTACCTCATCCACATCACTGACCCACTTCATGATGTGCTGGTAAGAGCGCTCACTGCTAATGTCGTAGACTAAAAATATTCCCTGAGAGAGAAAAAAAAAAAGAGAGAGAGAGAGAGAAAGAGAGATGGGGGAGGGAGATTGCACACAGAAAGAGTGCACTCATGAATCAAGATGGGGGAGGGGGGTCTTTACACATTGGGCCACTCTCCTTGCTTAGTATAATGAGGACCCCTCAGTATCTAGAAATGTCTCCTTCTCTCTCAGACCCCCCAGAGCTGCCACTTCCTAGGACCATCACAGAACTCTCTAGGGTAGGAAGGCATCACATGCTTTGTCCTGGGTCTTTGGCCCAGGGTAGAGGGTGAAAGTTAGGGATGAGGGTAGGGGACCTACCAACAGTAAGTGCTCTATGAATAACTGAGAAATGACTGTTCAGCGGGTCTCTGAAAGACTGCCCTAAGGCTCCCTCCTCTGAAGGTAATCCAAGGGGGTCAGTAACCAAAATAACCACAAACACCCCTCAAATACCCATAGTGAAAGTGGGGTGGCAGCTAAACCTCCACTACCTGAAAATGGTGGCTCACCTGGGCCCGTCGGTAGTACTGCTTTGTGATGGTCTGGTATCTCTCCTGGCCGGCTGTGTCCCTGCAGTAGAAAGCCAGTCCCTCAGAGCAGCAGGGACCGTGGGAGCAGATGGGGAGGGAGGAGCAAGAACTGGGAGACCCTGTGCCTTTGTAGGAAAAAATGAGGAGCTGCAAGGTGAAAAATCAGTGGTGCTTTGGTCCCCAAGAGTCTGAGCACAACTGACTCTGCGATATGAAGTCAGCTCCTCTATACTGGCAACGACAAGGCCCACAGGCCTGGGACACTCCTGATAACTGTATCTGCACTGCACCAACTGAGCCTTGAACAACTCTAAAATTTGGCCATTATGGCCAGACTCGGTTGAATGGGAGGATGATGCTCCACCCCCAGTGCCCATGGGACCTCCAAAGGCAATGTCTTTACCATCCCTTCTGGGATTAGGAGGTAGCTCCACCTGCAAAAGTGCTCTCAAGACAATCAGGTAAGAGGGCCACAGCAGCCCCTGGTGGCTACTAGTGGCAACTGCATCAGGCAGTAAACCCAGGATAGAGCCTTCTATCCTTCAGTCTTAACCAGTGTGACACAGCCTGAGGATAAAGCCTAATTCTTCAATAAACCCACAACAGTTAGTTCACCAATCCTTCTAATTCCTACCCTTTGGTGATTTGTTCATCTATTCCATGAAGTTTGTTAAGCAAGATAGGAGATTAAGGCTCATTCTTGGTATGGACTTTTTGACTTCTCGCCTTCATAGAGGCGTCCAGTTATCCCAGACGAGGCCTAGGGATTGCCCATTGTTTCTAAGCAGCAGCCCAGGGTCTTCTCTGCCCAAACCTGCCTGCTCCTACCCAACTCACCAAATCTGTATCCGCACTTTGATGCCATCAACCTCTATGGTCTTCATCTTAAAGTCAACACCTAGGGAGAGAAAGCAAGCATGAAACTTAGGAAGGGCACCTGCTGAGAACTGATTAGGTAAGGACCAAGGCCCTCACAGATGGAGGGATGTACTTTTGGCTAAAGGTGGTAAGGAGATGACTCAAGTAAGGGCCTCCTTAACCATAAATGGGCCCCAGGGAAGTGTCTAAGCTTTGAAGGGGGCTTCCCTTCCTCACCAGTTGAAAGTTGCCAGCAGTGGGCAACAGGGAGGCAGTGTGCAGACAGGGGAATCATGGCACATTCTAGTCATGTGTGAAGCCTTCATATTTACACTTCTAGAAAAAACATTCGTATTTACCCTTCCTGGAATGAATTTCTAAGAATAGCAATCTACCTTATTGGCCTGGATGTTTCTCTCTCTGCCTTAAGATAACCAGGAGGGGTTATAGCACTGTTGTGATGAGGGTAAGGCACAGACCCTGGTCTTAGAACCCTCTGTGCACGAAGCCCTTGGCACCTTGCAGAAGCCCACTAGGGAGAGGACCTCAGTGCACCTATTATTGACCGACACATTAGAAGAAGCACAGGCTTCACAGTCAGGAGCCAGCTGGATGGTCACTGGACTCGTGTTATACCTTGGGTACTTGATTCCCTGGGCCTCCCATTTTCTCCACAGTAAAAAGCTGGGACATGACAAACATCTGAGGGCTGCTGGGAAGACCCAGTGAGAAACAGAGGCTGCCTGCATAACCCACTGCAGCTCTCAACATGGTACCTGGCATGTAGCAGGTACACGAGTGACTAACAGATGGTATGACATGTTCTTGGAGGAGGCACAGGAAGCACAGAGTTCTCAGGCCCTTCTGCCCAAGGGCTTGAGGAACTAAGCTGCCCAAAGACACAGGAAGCACAGGGAATCTGGCAAATGGCCCAGGGCTGATACATATTTGGGGAAATCAGCACCACCCGCAGCAGACAGGCTTGACTGTAGGTGCTGACAGATGAGGGGAGATGTGTCGATCCCTGTGCCTCTTCCCCAGCCATGACTATGCCCAGTGACTCTGAGAGCTGTGTCTGATAAAGTAATTAACCTTAAATCTTCATGCATTCTTTGGAGGCAAGTCAGGAGTAGGCATCATGAACCACAGTTTTGAGATGGGGAACATTGGAAAGGCAGGGTTGTGGGCTGTTCATTACCAGGTTGCCCATTCCAGAAGGCCCCAAGGGTACCACCACTGCGATGCCACCGCCGCCTCCTCCTCTTCCTCCTCCTCCTCCTCCTCCTCCACACTAGTGCTTTGACAAATGGGAAAGCATCCCCTTATCCATCCCATCCCCGGCCTTCCACAAATACAAACAGATTAAATTCAGACCCTTCCCTCCTACCATCAAGACCAATCTCCTCTAATTAGAAGGGAGAAGAAGACTCAGAATGGACAACCTGCACTAAATCAAGTTGGTCAGACATGAATCATTTTTCGCCTGCCCAAGCTGATTCATATCTATTGAGCTGTACTTTTCCAAACAGGCAATGTCTGGCAGCCATTCTTCCCTGGGTGCAGAGAAAGAGGGATGAGGAGGAGGAGGATGAAAGGGAAGAGGGAGAGGGACACCTGGCCCTGGAGGGAGGCAGTAGCATGCTTACTCCCTCCCTGGACAGTTACCAGGAATTTGCTTCTCCCCAGTACCTGGCATAGAAGGGAATCAAGGGGACACACAACAACAAATCCCATTGGTATGAATAATGAGAATCCACCAGTAAAAAGGGATTCTTGTTGCTTGACAGTAAAGTTGCTTCTTTATAGAAGAACCATATATTTTTTTAAAATAATAAACCTAGCTCATCCTCATACTAGCCAGATCAAGAACAATGCTTTATGCAAAGTGGTCACAAGAGCGGGGGTGGATAAGAGGTTTATTTCCATTATTCCACAGGCATTTATGAGAACTAACTATGTTATGTGCCCTGAACAGTGCTCACCATAGACAAAGCAGCAAAAAAAGGACCTATGGTTGGGCTGGGGTTGTCACTCAGTGGTAGAGTGCTTGCCTGACATATGTGAGGCCCTGGGTTTGATCCTCAGCACCAAATAAATAAAGTAAAAAGTCCATTGACAACTAATAAATATATTTTTTAAAAAAGCACATATGGTCCCTGCTCTTACAGAGGTTGAGAGAGAGGAAATGAGCCCAGAAAGGCAAATAATTAGCCCAAGGTTGGCACAGCATGTAGCAAAGATTCAAATGCAAATCTGTTTGAAGCCAGTGCCCTGACTACCTCTTGCACTATTTGTTGGGAGAAAGAGAGGAGAGTTAAGCATTAACTAGAAATGGAAACCTCAACTATGCTTCATTTCCTGTCTCCTCTGGGTCCTTGAGAAGGGATCTGCTGAGAGACCATCTTCCAATATTAGGGGGACTTTTTCCTTATGAAAGAAAAGGAGAGGGAGGGCAAGTTGGAAGCAGCTGCTGAGAGGTAGAACAGGTCCAGGTGCGGCAATGCATACTTGTGGTCCCAGTGACTTGGAAAGCTGAAGCAGGAGGACCTCAAGTTCAAGGTCTGTCTTAGCAACTTAGGAAGATCCTGTCTCAAAAAATAAAAAAAAGCTGGGGATACAACTCAGTAGTAGAGCACCCCTGAATCAATCCCCAATACCAAAAAAAAAAAAAAAGGTAGAACAAACAAGCAGATTCGAACCTGCACAACCCTGGCAGTGAGTACTAGGCCTTGCTTCCTTCTCCCTGGGCCCTCACTTAGTTCTGTGGCAGAGTCAAGGTTGAGGAATTCTGGGGCTCATAGCAACCCCACCACCACCATGCTGCATGTTCTCTCTCACACCCACATTCTTGCAACCGAGGCCTACTGACAACACAGTAAAATTTTACTTTAACCTGTCAAGAAGGAAAATGCTTTGAGTTGGGATATTCATGTGCATTAATATATGATGGACGAAACAGTCTGTATCTTCTGAAGGATTTCCCCCACCTTTTTCTTTAAATATAAAAAGGTTAACAGTCTAATGATCTTCCAGTGGCATCTAGTCCTTCTTCTCTCTGTCCCCACACACCCTAGATCTTTCCCTGTCCACTCTTCCAATGAAGCCCTGGCCTGCAGGACCCTGTGCCCAACCCTGGCCATATCCTCTCCTGCGTGGCTGTTGGGTTTTTTCACTGCCGCTCTGCAGGATAAAGTCAAAACGCTGGCCTGATTGAGTCCCCTTCAGATTCATGCCTCCTCACCTCGCAGGCCCTTCCAGCTGCTCGGCCAACTGCTTATTCCAATGTGTGTTTACCTATCATGTTGCCACAGCCACTGACCTCACCCAGAGCGGCACTGCCCACCCCATGCTCTCAACAGAATGTCTCTCCACTGCTTTTCCTCTGAGGCCCATCCCATCTCTCCAGACTTCCCTCTGTCATCTCTCTGCCCTTCTCAAGGAAGGGCCCTCTACCCTTTCCAAGGTTCATCTCTCAGCTGTCCTCATCATCCCCTTCTGGGTGCCCATTGGTCCCTCTGTTGCCTCTTTGGTATCCATGGGAAGAAGGGGTTCTCCAGCTGCCTCTCTCCTGGTGTTTGCTCATTCTGGCTCCTCCAAGACAGCATTAAGATGCACACATTAAGGTAAGGATTGTGGGGCTGGGATTATGGCTCAGTGGTAGAGCGCTTGCCTTGCATGTGTGAGGCACTGGGTTTGATCCTCAGCACCACATTAAAATAAATATAAATAAATAAATAAATAAAGGTACTGTTTCCAACTACAACTAAAAAAAATATATTAAAAAAAAAGGTAGGGATTGTGATCAAATAAAATGCAGATTTGGATTTAGCAGGTATGAGAAAAGGCCTGAGAAGTTACATTAGCTTCTAGATAAAGCTGAGGTTGCTGGTCCTAGGACAGTGGTTCCCAGAGTGTGTTGTCCTCAGATCTGTAGCATCAGCACCATCCGTGACGTGTTAAAAAGGCAAATGCCCTCCCTATTAAATGCAGGCCCTACCTCAAATCTACAGAAGCAGACCCTCTGGGGGTGGGATCCAGCAGTCTTTTTCAACAAACTTTCCAGGTGCTTCCCACACAGACTGACGTCTGACAACTACACTTGGGCAAAAGCTTTGCACCCAAAGTGTCAAGCCAGGCACCCTGGGCATTCACTGTTTCTCAAATGTGCTTTGCAGATCCCCCAGCAGAATGAGAATCACCCCAGGAGATATTTCTTTTAAATACAACTACCTTGACTTGCCTACACATACTGAATCATAATTTGATAGAAACCTGTATTTTTAACAGCACTGTGCATGTTGGGTGGGGGAAGGTCAGACAGAGGAAAGTCTGAGAGCGGCAATAGAGTGAAAGAGACAACAATTGGCACTGGACTCAGAAAGACCTGAGTTCAAATCCTGTTTTGGACACTTGCTGTGTGACTGTGGACTAGTCTTATTTGTAGAATGAGAACACCTAAGAGCTGCCTCCAAAGGGCTGATGTGGGGTATACAACAAAAGCACCTCACTCTGATTCTTACTCCCACCTTCCCTGTATTGAATAAAGACTCCCTGAGGAGCAGGGAGGAAAGCAGAGAAAGGATTACTATTCTGCTACCCTTGCTAAACTAAGGATGAGTGGCACCAACCTCACCAGGAAGCTTTGCAGAAATAAAGATTCTCAGGGCTCCCCCAGACCCACCCCATCTTATGCACACTGAACCTCTATGCAGCCCATCTCTAGGCAGAACCATACCTGAGCCTCAAATATTTCTCTGTCCTGGGCTCGGGCTGTGGCTCAGTGACAGAGCACTTGCCTAGCAGATGTGAGACATTGGGTTCAATCCTTAACACCACCTAAAAAATGAACAGATAAAATAAAGGCATTCTGTCCATTTACAACTACATATTAAAAAATTATTATATATATGTATGTGTATGTGTGTGTGTGTGTGGTGTGTGTGTCTC